ATGGTGTCTTCCTCATCACCTGTTTCCAAAAATAGTGTAAGGTCTGGGGGAATGCCCAGCATTACCACAGTGGTTTTGTGGGATGTGTATGTGTTGTGTGTGTGAGAGAGGCGGTTAACGGAGGCCTCAATGTTCAGGCAACTTCCCATACCAAACTTGCCACCAATTCATAGAGTGGAGATCATACTAACTACTTACAAAAAAAAATTGAAAAAAAACTAAAAAAACCTATAAAAACCTTAAAATTTCACCCCCAAAGGGCCCAAATCCTAATTTCAGTTTTGGACCCGTTAGTCAGGAGCTGAATGTGGGGGTCCCCGTTAACCACTTGTGGTGTGTGACAGTGTGTGCATTTGCCATTTGGGAGAATTGAGACCACTTCAATTGCGGCACGGCATGCCGCACCTTGCTATACGGCGAAGAAGAAAACAATTCATACATACACACATGAATTACACCTTCAATCAGTATGCTTAAAAGTTAAAAGAGCGCGGAAACGACCATGCAAGGCAGGGATGCACATCCAGGGATTGCTCCGCTTTATTCTGGGCCGGCCAGCTTTTTCGCAAAAAAACTGTTCAGAAATTATCACAGAGAAGGCACCAACCAATCCATTCACAAAGAACAGCCAGATCAGATAAGATTAGAAAGAGAAGAGAAACAAGAGAATGAGAGAGGAACAGAAAAAAGAATAGAACAATCTTAAACCACCAGTACATTTCCCAGCCACTTTGCAGAAACACGATCTGCACGCTGGCGCGCGCGGGGTGCACCGGGGTGCCGTTTCGCCCGAAATCCATCCATCCAGGCAAAAGGGGTTGCATGCGTGGCCCGATTTGCCTGGATGGATTTCGGGCCGAACAGCAGCACCCGGGTGCCTCCTGCCCGACGCACCAGCATGCACGACATGTTTCTACAAAAAAATGGCTGGGAATTGTACTGGTACTGTTTAACTAGCAAAAAAAAGAAGATGACTCGTAAAAGAAAAGAGAAAAACGAAAAAAAAAAGACTCCTCCAAGAGCTGACGAGCTTTTCAAGAACACAAGCATAGTCCCAGTATAACCATCCATGTTCAGCCAGATGGGACCACCACTCAGAGGAGTCAGATCTCTGATCATAGCTGAAAAAGCCTGAAACTAATGACATAGCCATCACTCTATTAAACATCTAATAAACATGCTGACCTCGATAGTAACCTATTTTTTTTTTTTTTTACCCCGATAGTAACCTGATGCACGGAAAAACGAATACTGGGTTCCATTCCTCGACCTTTTGGCTAAGATCAAGTGTAGTATCTGTTCTGATCAGTTTAATATCTGATCCGTGGTCCATCGGACCACACTAAAAAATAAAATAAAAATAAAAAAAATACTGGGTTCCATTCCTCCTCCCAATTCACATCCTTGATGCTGACAACAGAAGTCTGATCTTCTGAGCAAAAAGAAATGATCATCCCGCCAACTGACTGGCTTCCTCAAAGGCGTTTCAGACAGTTGGAATTAAACCACCACCAGTACTTCCTCAAGTCGTGCCCGTAAACAAGCCATGGTTTTAGGAAACGTACGCCGGGCCACTACAGGAAAAGCGCCCAAATTCATCCGACTAGAAATGTTTCTACTCTATTATTTTCCACGGCCAATAGCTGGGCCAAGTACTGGTGGTTTAAAGCACCACCAGTACACGGCTACATGGGCCGCGGGCCTGACACCTCGAATCTCAGAAGCATGAAATGAAAAAGGGACTGTCGATACACTATTTATCAACGGCAGGCCCTACGTTTGACATGTCGACCTCGTTTTCTTTTGGCGACAAGTTTCGGCCTGCAAGGCTGGGGCTGCGTACTAGCGTTTTCACCCGAATAGAACACCTGGTAATTATCGCCGTATCGGGGCTGAAAGTTGTGCCAAATACAGCTATAATGACCGGGCGTTCTATTCGGGTGAAGACGGTCGCGGTTTAAGCAAAAAATAACCATGCCATCACGGTTAGTCTGACCAACTTGTCAATCGAACCAGATAATGACCGACCGAAAAAAAAAAGGTACAGACATCCCAAAAAAGGTATCATCATTGCCACGTAATGGGCTGAAATGAACCGAGAAGAGTAGATGAAGCAGCAACCCTGGCAAGAGGAGGAGGGCAGAGGGGAGGAAGGAGATCACAAATTCGCGATAGCAAGGAGTGGGAGAGCGTGGGGAGAATGAGATTGTAACGCAAATAGACTAGAGGAGAGAAAGAGATGGGGGAAAAAAAAGGAAAAAAGAAACGACGGAGGGCCTCCACAATTGCATAATATTAGCAATGCGAGAAAGGGCTCTCCAGCTTCCAATCTGAAGAAATCTTAGCATGCACTACAAATTTTGGAGTCGATGTTAAGTAGCCGTGATTGCATAATATTAGTAATGTGAGAAAGGGATCTCCAGCTTCTGATCCGAAGAAATCTTAGCGTGCACTACAAATTTTGGAGTTGGTGTTAAGCAGCCGCGATTGCATAATCTTAGCAATGAAAGAAAGAGCTCTCCAGCTTCCGATCCGAAGAAATCTTAGCGTGCACTACAAATTTTGGAGTCGACATTGAGTAGCCGCCATGACATTCAGGCGAGAAAAGAAGATCAAGGAAGCCAATGAACTGCAGTAGTCTATGTAATCAAGATGATGGGCGAGGAAAGCTTAAGAACGACGCCAAAAACGCGACCAATGCGCCAACCACACACTGCGATACATGCTGAACACATGCCCTGATTGCTTCAACGATGATAAACCAAAAGCCCATCATCTGGATTACTGCCACCTAAATCCCGATACCAAATTCCGACAAATTGAGAAGACCCCACTTCAACATCCCATCACAAGATATCCCCCAAAGATGCACAGGTAGAACAATCATTATTAAGCATCCACAGAGCGAAGGGAAAACATCGTGAGAGGGAAAGGACACAACTGGGAAGGCATAGAAGAGGAGGATCCCAATTCAGCCGAGCCCCCGATGTGCCGCTGACGAGTGGTGGGAGGGTGGTACATCTAGCCCAAACCATGTGGCATGCACCAATCCCACATAGGCCCTTCAGGCTGGCATTGGACCAGTTTTGGGCCTGGGCCGCATGGGCTACATTGTGGGCGGGTCCAAGGGCTGCAGCCACCTTTTTGGCCTCTAGGAGGCCCAGGTAGGGAGAGTGGGCATGGGATTGATTTGTGGTGTGTTTGTTTAATTCTTGAGATTTATTTTACATTTCAATGATTTCAGAGTATTTTTGACTGTTCCAGATTTTGTATGGTCTGGGATGTGTTGTTTTGACTTTTGTCCTGGGGCGAGGTCCCATTAGCAGTCGCCGGTCGGATAGGAGTGTGGCCGATCCAGTGTGACACTGAGTGGCAGCGGGCTGACAGGTTCATTACGAATTTCTGGGCTGAGAAAACAGGAGAAAGGCAAAAAAAAAAAAAGAAACAGAGACCTCCCACTGGAAATCACGGCAGAGTGCTTCCCAGCCGTCAGATCACAAACGAACTGATGGTGGTGGTTGCAACAACAGTGAACAAAGTAACCGCCACATTTTCTGGAATAAACTTGGCTTCTGTCAGCACTGATCCTGACACCCTCCATATACTCCGTGATTGAAGGAGGGCTCCACCAAATGAGATAATATCCCGTGGGCCTAAGGCCGACCCCACCCTCCTTTGGGGTTGGCCACACCCCCAACCGATTGAAAAGATTCTGGCGGGAAGCTTTCTTTGCACGGGCATGCCCAGTGTTAAGGAGAGGAGGAGGGGAACGAAGATCTCCTTACTTTTTCGGGTAATAGAAGTAAAATACTGACCATGGGATCACGAGTACTGCACGGCAGGATTTGGGTCACTCAACTGCCCTACAAACTCGTTTCTATCCTATCCCGTTGCTAGTGGGACCTCGCCCCTGTATGGGCCGTTTTCAGGCCCAGCGTTTTTTTTTTTTTTTTTTTTTTTGAACACCCCCTGCAGAGCTAGTGATACTGGTAGAAGCAGATATCACTAGCACCCGGGAGAGGCTCCATCTATTGGTGGGGAGCATCACCTGCTGGAAAATGGGTCCAGCGTCCCATATACAGAGTGAATAGAGAAGATACCAAGAAAGGAGGTCGAGGAACGCCTGCCAGCATTGATTACTCTGGCATCCAGAGGATTGACTGTGCAGGTTTTAAGAAAAGGAGCCAGGACCGGTCCCACCACAGATTCTCGTTGGCCGTTTTTGTTTTCAGGTCCAGCCCTTTGTCTGTATTAGGGACATCCCTGCTGAATCTGTGCTGATGCAGCAGAGAGCATGGATGTCCGGTAGGGACCCAGGCACGCCACGTTTCAGGCCAGGATCGTGACTAGCTCCAGCACCTGTGTTCAGGACCGTTGATCGACTTATCGATCAGCTGGCTCAGATTCCACGCCGCCTGCATGCGTAGTAGGCCCAGCGTTGGGCCACCCCTCAGTATAGGGACGCGGTGTTCCAAGGTCACACTTTGGCATGCTGTCGGCACAGCATTAGAGGAGTAACTTTTACTGTACCGTTAGAGAGATAGGGGGTTTGCAGAGCAAGGGAGATCAACAGAGGTACAACATTGGAGGAGGACTCACCTGTCGCCACCACAGGGTCTTCATCACCGGCCTCAGCCGGCCTTCCACCTGCAGCACAGGACAGCTCAAGAATTCATCTTTAGGTGGTAAGTACCTGGTTGAGAGAGAGAGAGAGAGAGAGAGAGAGAGAGAGAGAGAGAGTTCCATGATGGGAGTGTGCTTTTGACAGCAAACATTTATTGAACCTCATCGACAAAATAAAAAGCCCACTATGTCTGGAAAGAAAGAAGGTCCAAGAGTTGACTGAAATGACGGAAAAAAAAAAAAAAAAAAAAGATGCCTCAAAGGTACATATTTCCTACTGGATCCCAAAGACACCCCTATCCTTCCCCCTTCTTTCACAAAGCAAGCTGAAGCAAGCATGGGAGGGGAATGTGGATTACTGCTCTTCACATCATCGACCACATCCACCTACACCCATCAATAACCTCCAAAAGTGCGTCAGACATCCCCAGCAACATCATTGCAGCACGTTCAGGGGTGTTTGAATTCCAATTCGCAATATTCGCAAAATTCGCATGTGGCTATATTGGGGCGAGGTTCCAATTCGCGAAATTCGCATGTGGCTATATTGGGGGGCGATTATACGCTGTCTTTGCACTGGAAAACTACCTGCTTATCGTTTGGCCCGAAAATGGCTAAAGAAATACTCGTTGAATCGACGTTGACGTAAAATAATAATGGTTTGCTTTCCTGTGTCTTGAACGCAGGGAGAGCAAAAGCATTTGTGGCAGCTACAAGCTAAGGCCAGTGAAGAAGCTTATGTCGAAGCTAAAAAAGAGATGGAGGGGTTAAAGGTAAGCTTACAAATAGTCAAAGGACCCCATTTCAATGCAAAAAGGAATTCAGAAAGGAATCAAAATGATATTTTAATAGTTTTTATCCTTACAGGTTCAACCTCACTTCTTTTGCGAAAACGGCAACGGTTGTGTCCCTGCTGAATCACCGAAGCAAAACTTTCCTTGGGATTGCCGTGTCTCATATGTTCTCACTCCTGCTCTGTTCAAGGCCAACCTCTTTGCCCCTCCCACACTGTGGGTTTAACGGTAGCATTAACCCCATTTCCGAAATCACAAATGGACCCCCCCCCCTCTTTTTGGATTTGACTTGGCAAAGGAAGAGCAACCGTCTCAGAAGAGGAAGGAGGAGAAGACTACAGAAGCAGTACAAGTGCGGGTACCAGTACCAATGTCCAGAGGAGGACAGATCGTTTCCTTTTTTGAAAGGGGGATGGCCTTGAGGTGTTATCATCGGACTAACCAGCCCAGGTAAATTCAATATTGTGTCTAATCTGACATCGGGTGGCCTTGATTGCCTTTCCAAGACATGAGGTTGCTGAGACTGCCCCCAGGATAGTAGCACACTACAAGCAGGCCTGCAGAAGCTCTAGGCTGACCAAGGAAGTTCTGGCCTTTCTTGGGGGACCTCAAACTACGCTGGCAGGAGTGAAAGGTCCCAAGTCCCAGTTTAAGTCCCAGAGCTGGTACCATGGACCATATTCCCAGGCCCAAGCCAGGACCAGTACCTGCATAGCAATATGTAGTTGTAGGTAGATCCCGATAGGTACCGGCAACCATAGGAGAGAGTCAGAGGAAGCCGGTAAGCCCTTTCTGAGTCAATAGGTCTAGTCAGTAGCGAAGGCTAGGGAAGTCAGGGAACTTCGGGAAGTGACAAACATCGGCCAGGGTCCGGACGATAAACAGGAGAGTAAGTCCGGAAGTGAAATGTCGGGTACAAAAGTCCAGTTCGCGCAGTCATCAAGACATATTCACTTGCGTGACCAGGCGAAAACACTGCTATGCTATTTCGAGATGTGTTGTTGGGCGCTGCTGTAGGAAGTTGTCGACGGCGCTGGGCACGCATAGCCATAGTCATACTAGCTAGTTCAAGTGACAGAGAGTGAGTGACATCAAGAGGTATGCAGATGGAACATGAGGCCAAACGTTGAGAGAGAGAGAGAGAGAGAGAGAGAGAGAGAGAGAGAGAGAGAGAGAGAGAGAGGACTGGATGGCAGAGCATGCACACAGACAATTCTGTGTAACTGAGCTGGTTGGCAGAGACTATCATCCAGTTCACATCTCATGTGTGCTTTGTATGTGTGATCTTGGAGTGAGAGTCGTGTGGATGGTGTTGTGTATGGTTGGCCTCGAAGCATTATATCATAATTATCATTGTTATTATTATTATTTACTGTTGTTGTTGTTGCTGTTGTTGTTATTAAGAAAAGGGAAACGGGTACGAAGAGCTTCAGGCCAGAAAGAGCACATGAGTCTTTCGCCAAGGAAAGGCAAAACCATCTCCTAGCCCTTAACCCCAGTCCAGTTTACCAATCTAGTGCTTGCTTCTGGAGTGATGAATGTGTAACTATGTCTCCGTGTCTCAATCTTGAGAGCCTGTCTATGTCAATGGCCACCAAACCTGTCACACTGTTTACTTTCTCGCGAGGTTGCCCTTTTGCCTCTTCTGCCTCTTGTGCCTCTGCTGCTGCTGCCGCTGTTGCTGCCATTGCTTCCTCAGGGGACGGACACATTTCCTTGTGTGATCCCTTTGACATTGCCGTCTTCATTCTCTCCGCCCTTTATCCCCTTTGTTCACAAGTGACCCTTTTGCCTACGTCCTTACAAGTTACTTGGTTACCGGATGCTATGGAGGGCCCGTAAGATCGGGGGAAGAGGGGAGGAGAGGGGGGGGGGGGGCAGGGTGTTATTCGGAATGACTAGGCGTAAAGGGTATGGTTGCTGGCCAATGGTGCCAGTTTTTTGACAAACATGGCTACTTTTCACCCACCTTCTGAGAACTTTTCTCCTTCAGGGAGTTTTTTTAGCAGTGTGCATAACTCAGTGGGTCAGGGGGGGGAAAAGGACAAAGGGTCCCGAACGTCGAAAAAACCAGTTTTTTTTTGCATTCCCAGCGAAGGAGTACAAATTGTTCAATTAGACCACTAGTTCTTGGCCCAGCTATTGGCCGCGGGAAAAAAAATAGACTAGAAACGTTTCTAGTCGGATGAATTTGGGTTCCGCTCCTGTAGTGGCCCGTACGTTTCCTAAGATTGTGGCTTGTGTACGGGCACGACTCTATACTCTTACACCTTTATACATTCGCACTAACAGACATACACAGACATAAAGACACAAAGACCTCACAACTACTGCAACTCACAACTCACAACTCACAGCCCACAAATCTCAAATCTCACTTCACAATTTACAGCATCCATGCCTGCACAAGGCTGTAATATACACAATGGACACAATGGACAATAGAAACGGCTCACTGTATACTAACCTATACCTGCACTCACTTTCACTTACACTTACATACTACGCCTGGGTTAGGCTGTAAGATACGCGGAAGGATGGAACCCAGGGCATACCATAGCCCAGTCTGTACAAGCAGATCGAACATTCATACAGCATGTCTACTTCTCAAACATATGTATAGGGATGCTGGACCTGTTTTCCAGCAGGTGATGCCCCCCACCAATAGATGGCCCCCCCCGAGACTGCTAGAGGTGCCTGCTTTTACCAGCACCACTAGCATCAACTCAGGTCGTTTATTCTTTTTTTTTTTCTTTTTTCTTTTTTTTTTTTAACACAACACACTCCCACCGGTGGTAGTGGTGCTGATAAGAGCAGACACCACTACCACCTGGGGAGAGGCTCCATCTATTGGTGGGGAGCGTCACCTGCTGGAAAACGGGTCCAGCGTCCCATATACAGACTGCAATCAGAAAACATTAGAGAAACAATGTAGAGGGATCCTGCCAGCATTGATTACCCTGGATTCCAGGGGATTGACTGAGCAGGATATTGGAAAAGCTGAAAAAGGATGATGCTTCTGTGTAGCATCAATCATGATCGTAAGATCATCTGCAAACAGAGAACAGACTCGGATCGCGTCCTCTGGGATGCCGGCTATTCGAATTCTTGCTAAGTCCTTACTTTGTCGGAGGTTGGCTGCTAGTGCCTCCATTATGATGATGAATAGGAAGGGGGCCACCGGGTCTCCCTGTCTCACCGAACGCTGTAGCTTTATTTCTGGAGCCAGGGACCCGTTAATCTGTACCCTCGTGGTTGCGTTCTGGTGTAGAATACCTACCCACCTCCTGAAAACTGTTCCAAATTAAATTTTTCTAAGCATCTGTCCAGGAATAGCCAGTCGACGCGATCGTAGGTTTTTTCGAAGTCAATGAAGATGAAAGTTGCGTTGCTCTTAGATTGTTGTGCCAGGCTAATCATCTCGTTGACAAAAAAAAAAATTAAAAAAAAAATGGAAGTACCGCTGGTGGTTTAATTTTGCCAGGGAACACAACAGGCCTCTTCCTTTCTGACCGGGGGGGAAGGTAGAAAGGGAGGGGAATGGGGGAAAGTGGGAAGCACACAATGTCGTTTTTTTTTTAACAATAAGTTAGTAAGAAGTGCACTCTATAGATTGGTGTGAAATATGGTTAAAATGACCCTTTGGTTTTCTTATAAATCGGGGTGAAAATTTGGGGGTCGGTGGGAAGCAGAGGGAGGAGGGGGGAGCTCAAGGGGGAAAGTTGGGAGGATAAAACAAACTTTGGCTGACAGAGAGTAATGCCATGGGTTGGAATGGAATGGCCTTGTGGGGAGTTGGGTCTGTGTTAGTAAATCATACACTTTGGACATGGACAGACATTGTTGCAGACAAGGACATTGGAGGTGGAGGATTTGGAGAAACAGCTGGCAACAAAGCTGAACGAGTCAAAGCAGTTTGTGACCATGAAGAAGATGATGCAGACGAAAACCATGCAGCTGCAGAAGCTTCGTGAGCGGTTGGAAATGTAAGTCAATTGCAGACAATTGGACGATTGGCAACTTGACATCTATTCATGTTCCCTTTTTTTTTTTTTTTTTTTTTTTTTTTTTTTTAAGCTGCCTTCTCCTCATCGGGGTCCAGGCACATATTTTTCTCTCACATCACATATTTTTAACTGGCGTTCTGCCATGTCATGGAACATATCTTGCTTTCACTACCTACCTACCACTACTCCTAAGGCTATACAGGGGACCCCTGCAAGCATAACTTTCTACCTCTCTTCGGTGAAGGGAGGTTAACTCTCTCGGTGGAGAGAGGTGATGGCATGTGTGCCCCTTTGCCCTAGCATTGAGGGTGCAGGGTTGGGGCCGCCGGTGGGGGCCCGGCTAACACAAGGACCGAGCATTTGCCATCAACTGTGCCTCCCTCTCTTTTCATCTTCCCCCACCCCCATTGAGTAAAAGTAGTGTTTGAAGTCGGTACAAGCTTTGCATGCACTTCAGCTTGCACCGCATCCACGTTTCAGACAGTTTGTGATGAGTTGTGGATGCACACCATGTACCTAGTCTTCTTTTCAAACCTGGGGTATGGTGATATATATATATATATATACAGGGTTACCGACGTTCGGGACGGGCCGAACTCCCGAACGTAGGGGACCCCTTCGGAAGGCGTTCGGCCGTTCGGGCCGAACGCAGACTAAAAAAAAAAAAAAAAAAAAAAAAAACGTTTTCAAAAAATTTCGAAAAAAACATATGTTATGGAGAAGAATAAAGTAAACAACATTTGCTTGGGCACTACATCCAAATTCTTTACCAAATTTGAATTTAAAAATCAAATACAGAAATTAAACACAATGATAAAAATAAGAAAAAATAAAAAGAGAATTAAATTGAGTGATTGTGCCAACGCCTTTTCGACACCGCCATCTTCGCCGATTTTTAATTATGTTTTGGCATTGACAAATGTCCTGAAAATTTACATATATGTAGCTTACATAATCAATAACTCATTAAAAAGTTTTCAGAAAATAATAATTTTTTTTAGGCCCCGAAACAAAGTGAAAACAAAAATTTAAAAGTGAAAAAAAACAAAATAGTGAGTGGGCGAGCACGTTTTGACACCCCCATCTTTGATGATTTTTAATGTTTGTTTGGCTTAGCAGAATGGCTTCAAAATTTATAGGCGTGTAGGTTACATCATATAGAACTCACAAAAAAAAATTCAGAAAAAACAACTTAGTTTTAGGCCCCAAAATGTTTTTTGGCGGGGGCCGAACCTGGAGGTGTTCGGCCCCCGAACGGGACCCCGAACGCACGAACTTTCAGGGGCCAGCCCGGGGCCCCCCGAATGTTAGGTCAGGTAGCCCTGTATATATATATATATATATATAATCCCAACCTTAAACCACCAGTACCTTTCCCGTATATCAGCCGTGGCCCCCTCACCGCGAGTTTCGGAGGCCGGAAATGCAACATGGGCCACCAATGGAAATTATCGACAGCGGCCCGGCTCCGAAAAATTACCTGTGTATACCGCCGCGTATTAGTTTTTCAAGCGGGGAAAGGTACTGGCGGTTCTTTTTTTTTTTTTTTTTTTTTTGACAAAGTCACAGCCTCCTTTAAATTATGGGGAGGGTCCAGTCCAGTTACTTATCACCGGCTAGTATAAAATCTGAACATAAAAATATTAGTATCCAAGATGACCTTTTGAACAGCGAGACGAATTTACCCTCAACCTCTTTCAACTAGGACGGAGGGCAGTGCTGTGGGCGCTTTGGAGACGCCGCTGCACATATGAAATGGAAGAGGTGAGGCTGGACGGGCCAAAATTTACAGAGAGCATACAACAGCAGATTCATATGAATATAAGAGCAAGATGGGAGACCACCAAGTCACAGCTCCAACACATTCACACTGCGAACGAAATACAACAGAGGATACAAGATTTCTGCAAAAGCTGGCTCGGGAGGGAAACCTGAGGGAGGATTGGGCAAGTGGAATGGACCGGGGGAAATGGGGGGCAACAGGGAAACGGGGGTAACCAGGCAGTCAACAGGGACTACAAACTTCTTTTCAACAACTGGACCAACCTGGATGATTCAATCCCGATGCGGCCAAGCAGCGATTTCCCGGACTTCTTCCCCCCCCCAGTAAACAGCCTGGTAGAAGTTTCTTGGTATGGGGGAGAGTAAAAGGAACAAGTCTCTCTYGTACTGCAGTGCGAACTCACAGGTGATAACACTCAGGMAGCCCATTGACGGTAACCAGGCGAACGGMGGTATATCTGTTTCCGGGCAGYAGAGGGTGATCAGRMGGACARCTTTCAACRACCCATGCAACAGGCAGACAATCTTCATCAATCAAATACGCCTTGACAAGCAGCAGACATTCTGGCCCCATTAGGGAAGCATTAGCTTTCATCAATAGTACCTGCAAGACAATTTCTCCATTCCTCAGTTACTTTCTCAGTTTACAAGATATATTTCTGGGATAGTAGGGGGAGCGTGGAACTAATGTTTAGCAGCTGGTATATGGCGCCGGTTCTCCGGTGAAGAGGTTCCCCCCTCCCTACATCCTGCTTAGTCAATCCCCTGGATGTCAGGGTAATCAATGCAAGCAGGAATCTCTCATTATGGCCTTTAAATCTGTTTATGGGACACTGGACCCGTTTTCCAGCAGGTGGTGCTCCCCACCAATAGATGGAGTCTCTCCCCGGGTGGTAGTGTTGCCTGCTCTTATCAGCAACACTATCACTGGTAGGGGAAAGTTAAAAAAAAAGAAAAAAAAAGAAAAAGAAAGTATCCAACATCCTCCTGGTCAACGAGCTCTTGAGACTATGAATTCTGCAAACTCTTTGACATGAAGGTAAACTGGGGGAATAAAACCATGGGTTGGTGGATTCACTATCAGGGAGTTAGGCCTCCAGAACTTCCAATGATCAAGTGGTTCCCTATTGATTCTCCGGTGAGGGTACTTGGGATTTCTCTCTCAGCCATGGGCAAACCAACATCCAATAATGAAGGTATCCTGAAACATGCAATATCTAAATTGGAATTATGGAAAGACAAACATACCTCGTTGATAGGAARAACACTTGYCATTAACAATGTGGTYYTGGCTTCTATTTGGTACAAATCGGCGCTCTGGGCTCTTGATAAGGTTTTTATCAGAATCCTACAGGGGCAGTTGGCAGCTTTCCTTTGGCGAGGTAATCATGAATCCAAACATGTTATTAGCAGAGTAGCATGACTATCAATAATTCAACCCAAATCAAAGGGAGGATTGGGCATAATTGACCCCACCACTCAAGTGAAAGCGCTTTTAATCCAATGGATTAAGCGTCTTCTTTTCAACCCCCAAACACCATGGAGTATCCTAGCTATAGAATAGATCAGGCGCCTGGCCCCACCTACTCCCGAAGAGGTTGACCCGCTCATGTGGTTGGAGAATCGCGCGTGGCCTCTCCCCAGATCATCCCCATCAGTCTCCCCAGATATAGTACTTTCTGATCGTCAGGCAGTTAGGGGGGATCTTTCCAGGGATCCTTTCTGGATTGACCTACTAAAAACTTGGAGAAAACTCCCCATTCCAGATAAAGTAACGCCGAAAAGATGGGAAGAAGTTTGCCAACAACCCTTATTTAATAATACTCTAATCAGAGATGTACATGGTTGCACCCTTCCCTGCACAGATTCCCCTTGGAAGGGTTAGATTTCAAGAGGAGTCATAATGATTAGAGATATCTGGAATAAGGAGACCAATGATTGGATTGATTTACCGAATATCAATGTCAGATTAAAGCACTGTCATCATCAGAAGGAAGCTTTGGAACAAATAATAAATATTATTCCTCTTGATTGGGTTAGGATCCTGAAAAAAGGTCCTACTCTCATGCCAAACGATTGGGTATCCATACATGATCAACCAGGGATAGTAGGAAAGATTAATGACGTCCATGGTTCTGGCGATGTATTAATGACAGTTTTTGACTTGAGTGATGACGGATTCCTCAGGAACACTTCACAACAAATTGTGAGTCTAATCCAATCATTCCGCTTATTTAGGATTAGAGTTCTAACGATTAAGGATAGGCTGCTGGCTTACAAACCAGACACTCCTATTTCCCATCTCCCCATAGACCCTGTAAGTTGGTCCTGGTCTTCTTTTGCATATGCAGGACGCTCACATACCCAAACTCTTCATACGTTGACGGTAAAATCCACGTACAGAATGTTGCGCCCTAGGATTAATTTAAAGGATAGAATTAAGGAGAGATGGATCAGAGATGAGCATTTTGTTTTTTAATTGGCACTTCATCCAACCCGCCCACATTTGTTTAAGTACAGCCCGCCCTAAAAAATAAATAAATCTCATGGTGACCCAACCCACCCAAGTGTTTTTTTGAAATTTTCCTCCCACACCCAACCCGCCCGTCACCCGTAAAAAACCTTCACCCTGACCCACCCAGACCCGCGAGAACAAAATTACCCGCCCGCACCCGGCACCTAATTATTTTGAACCCACACCCGCCCGTACCCCATTGTCTCAATCCTTTCGAACATTTGCACGCACCACAGCAACATCCTTGGATGACGGCGCAAAAATTCGAAGCATATCCACTTTCGGCTGTCTTTGGATGATGGCACGAAAATTTGAAGCGCTCCACAAGTTTGAAATTGGGGAGCAAACCTTACCACTTGCTGTGGTTAGGTTCAATTCCCGTTCTTTTAATGGGAGCGAACATCCCGTTATTTGGGCTGTGGTCCAGCTACCACCGGTAGAGAGTGACACATTAACTTTTTTTTTTTCCAGGGGGCCAGGGTGGAGACTTTCGGTTTCCTGGGCGACCAACTTTTGAAGTCCACAGTTGGACCGCAGTTGGGAAATATGTATGAGTGGGGTGGGGGAAGGGGGGTGGGCTTGGGGGGGAGGGTTCTTATGGGTTGTCCTGGGTCTGTGGGTCGGGTGACCCAGGTCTAACACTCACCCACCTGTCACCCACCCATTCGGGTGACCCAAGCCT